TGATCTGATGGTGGTGGAGCCAAGGTAGGAAGTGCAGACACTGGTGGCTTAAAATTTGGAAGAGAGAATAACTGAATCATTCTAATTTTCATTACTAATGCATGGAAGCTGATCTCATAAGCTCAGGAGCTCAAGTCCATAATTTTTGTAGTGACAATACTGTCAAAGTAATCCAGAAGGCTGTGTCATAGTTGGGGAAAAAACCCCAAAAGCCAAAGAAGAATTTCTTAAGCTTTAAACCCAAATGTGCTTGGAGAAACAAACCCTGTAAGAGCAGCAGTGGCACCATCTGATGGGCTTTATAATGTCACAGACAAAAGTAATTATGGTGCTTAGAAGAGCTTTTGTCTCCAGCTAATGTTGTTAAAAACTTGCAGTGTAGTGTAAATCATAACAGAACAAATCTGGAATCTGCTCTTATTGCTGCCAGGGGAAAAGCTCTTGGGTTTTGTTCCCTTTCTGCTGGATATATGGCAAACCCTTCCCCAGCTGGTAAATAAATATAACCTGCTGTTTGAGCAACGACGCGCGGTTCATCTCGGCAGCGGCGCCCGTGGCAGCCAGGCCCTCATTGCAAACAGTTGTTTCTCTCTTGGTGAGCTCTTCTGGGTGTCTTTTAAGAGCACAGGCTGTTGCAATGAGTCTGAAGTTGCCTGATTCATTGGAGATATTAAAGAAATATTTCCTTTAGAGCTCACTCCGATGGGAGTGCCTGTGGCTCCCTCCTCTCAGGGCTGTGCCCGTCGCTGCCCGTGCTGCCCTGGAGCTCTCACATCAACACAAGAAATTTACTGAGGGAGAAGGGGCACATTCACACCCCCAAAAACATTAGAAGTGTATTTTTGTATGCAGAGCAGGACAGGGAAGAGGAGTGTGGGGTGGCAGCCTTCAGCCCAGGGCGCTCCCAGGCAGCAGCATCCCGGGAAAGGTGCAGGGAATCCCCATCTGCAGGGAGAGCAGTGCAGCAGGATGCCAGCCACCCGTGCTGATCCCCAGGGAGGTTTCTGCTGGACAAACCCCAGTTTCTTCTGTGTTTTACACTTTGGAGGAGCCCGGTGAGGTTTGGGCTCTCACCTGCAGGAGGATGCTGTGTGGGACTGGCTCCCTGCATCACGGAGCCTCTCAAACGAAGCCTTCATGTCCCAGCCTCAGCTGGAGCCTCCTGGGGCTGGGGGAGCTGCTGGGTTCCTCCAGAGCCCCTTGGAAGCAGCTGCAGCCTTTTCACCCAGCACCAGGCTCTTACTATCTAAACGGAGAATGCAGCGATTTCCTTCCCCTGCCAGGAATTCCTGCTCAGGGCTCTGTTCTGCTCCTTCCCCATTTATTTTCTTTTCCCTAACTGCCCATTTGCAGCGGCCCTGCAGCTCTCTCAGGGGTGTCTTTTGGGGAGCTTTTGCACTGTGAAAGCTGCTTAGTCCTCTCCTGACCACTGGAACCAGGCAGCAATTCCTCTCCAGGTGCTTCAGCGAGAGTCCTGCTGGAAAAATAACTGATAGCCCACACTTCTCAGCTGGTGCTTGGTAACTGTGGTCTGGAGTGGAGTTTCAGCTTTCACCCACCCTTTGGGAGCCCTGGTACACTTGGCAGAGGGAGTCACCAGGTGTCTGTGCAGCAGGTACAATGCTCTGCTGGTGATGTGTCACCTGGGCATCATTCTTCCCATCCATCCCAGGACAGAGCACTGTGGTTAAGTTGCTCCCAGGTTTTGCCCCTGTGCTGACTGCAACGATTTTGGAGTACAATTTGTGTCTGTGTTCAGCACCTTTAGGTACTTGCTGATGAAATGTGCTGAAGACCTACCCAGGTAGGACTGCCCTTCTGGTGTGGGGGCCCATGGCAGCTCAGGCTGTTGTGACCCCAAGGCAGACTTGTGGATCAGGACTCTTCACATTTCAGTGCATGCAAAAGTGTTTTTTTAGTGGTGTTTTTTGTTGCTGTTGCTTGTTTTGGTAGTGTTTTGGTTGTGGTGTTTTTTTTTCCTTACTAGTCATATAAGAAAATGAGCAGATAAATAACCAGACATGATGGAGTTCTGCTGTGTGTACACAGCTATGGTGATGGAGACAGACATGAGCTGGCTCTGCCACACAGCTCCTTTGCCAGCTGGGAGCAAATCTGGTGCTACACTTTATATTTACCCTGTTCAGCTAGAACTTCAAACCAGTTGCTTTAAATTGTGATCATTTTTTTAAGCGTCCCTGAAATAAATAGAAGAAAGAAAAGATTCAATTACCCTGCAGCAACAGGAGCTTCAATACTGCCATGTTATGGGCAGGGTGGATGTTACCAGCAGCAAATCCAGGCTGTGGGATTTTCTAAGGAAGCAGAAGCCTGTGCTGCTTCTGTAATAAGGTGTCTCCTCTGTTTCACTGTGAGGATCTTACGTGGGAGCACATGGGACTGACCCACAAAGTTTCCTCCTCTTTGAAGTGCTCAGAGCCTGACCATGGGTCACTTCTGCTGGCAGCCAGGGCTTTGACATTGTTGCAGCCAGCCCTTTGTGAGGAATATTTCAGAATAAGCAACTATTAAGGAGAGTTGGGTGTGAGAGACTTTGGATGTGTGAGACTCAGGGTTGGTTTTTTTAAATGAAGTTTTATTATTTCTTGCATCTATTAATAGGGCAGCAGGAGGGTTTGTGTGCTTTTATGGTTCCTGTTCTCTCTAATGGATGTATGCAAAGGTTCCAAGGCCCATAAAATAGACACTCTCAGCCAGTTATTATGATAAGAATTATGTGCATGTCATGACCTTTAAAGCAGAGGGGCTGTGTGTGCATTCTCTTCTGACAGGCCACTGTTCTCAGCTCCTTTCTGAAGCATTTCTCACCATAGGAGGCTTGCACAGGAGCTTGGAATATTTTTCTAATCAGTAAAGAATCTCTTGGATCTGCTGGTAACTTGCACAGCACAGAGGAGCAGGAAAAGGAAAGAAGGAGGACTTTTTCTAAGGGAACTAACAGAGAAGAGGTTAAAGGCGAATCGTGAGGCACAGCATGAAAATCCTGGCATGGTCTGCAGTGCTGTCAAAAAACACACTGGCCCAAAAAAGTGCTTTGTGCTCTTGGAGGAAAAAGCTTTTCTGGTGCTCTTGAGGATAAGGAAGGAAGGAAAAATAAACCAAGGTTTTATGATCCCTCTGCCCTATTTAAAGGGACTTTTTTTTTTTGTTTGTTTTAAAACTTTTCATAAGGGTGCAACCAGAATTTGCTGTGTTTGCAGAGCCCCCACGTTTGCCCTGCTCCGTGTGGGATGAGCTGTTGTGCTTGGAGAGCCTGGCAATGGTGTGTCTGGGGGTGGAGATGCCTGCTGTCAGGGGCAGGGAGGCATGGAGAGAGGGGCTCAGTGTCCTTGCTCTGCTGCATCCCTTGGACTGGGGTGTCAGGAAGGATTGGTCTCATCTGGGGACACAGATGGTTGCTCCAGGCTTGCAGGTGCAGTCCTGGTGAAGGTGTCAGGAGCTCTGGACAAAACGCTCCAGTGGTCCAGCTGGGAGGTGTGCAGACACCAGGTGGGATGGAGACACTGTTGGCTAAAGTATATTGGTCATTTTTTGCTTTGGTCCTGCTCACACCACAGCTTTCTGTGTGCTGGTGTGGGGGCAGCAGGTCCCTGGCCCTGCAGGTGTGCCTGCTTGGGGTGCACCTGGGAAGCCCTGGAGACGTGATGGTCCCAAAAGCTCTTGAGTAACACGAGGGGCAAACAGCAAGGTCTGACAGTGCTTGTGCCAGTGTTGATACTAAACCCCCTTGGGAGGCATCAGGCCACGCTCAGCTGCATCCCAGCCCTAACAAATGGGGAAAATAACACTGTTTTAAAAATTAAACAGTTGATTTAATTATTGAACGGGAATAATTTTCATGCAAATTGGGTCTGGATTTGTGCTTCCAGAGTGACATGGTTGAGAGCAGTCATATCATGGGGTGTTGGTGACCTGTGAACTGAGAGGCTGTTCATTATTTTTAGTCTTTTATGAATATTACCCTAGAGAGTGGGATGCAGGCTGGTAGAGAGAGCTGGCTGAAGAAAAAGACCTTAGTTTGCACTGGTGGCCTCCCCTTCTAAGGCTTTAACTTGCAAATTGGGTTGTGTGGAGGGATGTTGCCTTTATGTACCAGGGTATGGATGTTTTGGAAGCCTCCTGGCGAGGAGAGCTGTGATGAAGGGAATAACCATGCTGTGGTTGTGCTGCTGGAGGCACTTCTGCTCACTCCATGGAGAGGGCGTGGGCAGAAAGTCCTCAAGTCTTTGAAGGGGGAGATGGAAACGTGCACCTGTTCTTGTCCTGACGCTATGATGGTGTAAAACTTGAGCTTCACACTGCAGTTTAGCACAACCTAATGTGGGTGAGAGTGGTTGCCAGCTCTCAGCACCACTTTGGACCACAGGGCAGCTTGTGTCTAGGGCAGAAGAAAGGCTGGATGTGCAGCTGAAGGGAGCCTGATGCATTTGGGAGAGATACAGCACTGCTGGGGTTCTTCAAATGGCTTTGAGGACACTTAGTGCGGGGTGGGTGCTGGGGGGTCAGGTCTGAATATCCTCTGTGATTAAACTCCCATAAATATTTTCCTTTTCATAATGGAATGTCAGCATTTACTGCTTCCTGATTTTAAACACTGTACAGTTTGTCAGACATTTGTCTCTGCCTTAAATTAAGTCTTGAGATAGAATTCCTGCTAATTTCAAATCAATGTGAAAGAAGGAGAGAAAGAAATTGCAGTCTGGCCGTTTCCTTGAATCAATATTTTCTTTAAAAGCTGAAAGGTTAACCAGATTGTAGTTTTTTGGCCATTTTGAAATGTAGCTGGTGTGTACAGAATCTGTGCATCTCCCCTGCAAACTGCTGATGCTGGGGAGTTCTGCAGCAGGCACAGCTGCCAGCAGGCAGGAGACCCGAAGCGGGCAGGGTGGGACCAGCCTTTGCAGCAGAAAGGTGGCATAACGTGATCCTCCCTGCTCCTCATCTCTTCCTAACTTCATTTCTTCTGCTCTGCTTTGCAGAAGCCTTCGAGATCGTGGTCCGGCACGCGAGGAACTTCACCAACAGCATGTTCAGGACCCACTACAAAAGCATGGGGCCCAGAGCTCTGAAGTTTGTTGGAGAACTTTTTACCGACGTCTCGCTGTACATACTGGGCTCTGACATCAGCGTTAACGACATGATAAATGAGTTCTTTGACAGTTTGTTCCCTTTGGTTTACTCGCACCTGATGAACCCCGGCTTCCCCGAGCCCTCCCTGGAAATGACCGAGTGTCTGCGGGCAGCCAGGAGAGACCTCAAAGCCTTTGGGAACTACCCCAAGGTGATGATGACGCAGGTGTCCAAGTCTCTGCAGGCCACGCGGGTCTTCCTGCAGGCACTCAACCTGGGGATCGAGGTGATAAACACCACCGACCACCTGAAGTTCAGCAAGGACTGTGGCCGGGCACTGCTGAAGCTGTGGTACTGCCCCCACTGCCAGGGGCTGCTCCTGGCCAAGCCCTGTGCCACCTCCTGCTCCCTGGTGATGCAGGGATGCTTGGCGGGCGCCCTGGAGATCGACCAGCACTGGCGGGAGTACCTCGGGGGGCTGGAGGGGCTGGCCAAGGGCATGCGTGGCATCTATGACATGGAGCACGTCCTCCTGAGCCTCTTTTCCCAGGTGCGGGAGGCCGTCGTCCACGTGCAGAAGAACGCAGGGAAGCTCTCCCCAGCCGTGAGTTCTGCCCTTCCCCTGCCCCACTGCCACAGCAGGGCTTGCTTGGGCACCACCAGCTCTACCTGTTGAAGCCAACCTACCTGTGTCCTCCAGCCAGCAGTCTCCAAATGCTCCAGTTGCCAGCTCCTTCCTTCCTTCTTCTCCCCCTTCCAGCTGTATAATTTTTAACGCTTTTGGCAGCATTGGAAACTGGTGGTTGTGTGGCCTGGGCTGCCCGCTGAGGGCTGGGGCCTCTTCATGGGTTGGTCAGAGCAGAAGGGTCTGGAGTCATCCTGGTATCAGCCTCGTAGCTGGGCTGTGAGACTGGGAGCTGAGGTGTCCCAGCTTCTTCAGTACTGCCCGGGTGCTGTGCTTGCCTTGGGTAGCTCTGAAAAGCTGGTCCTGCTCCCCAAGTGTCCCCTTGTCTCCTTTAGCACCACTAAAATGTACCTCCACAGAAATGCCCTGGGGAGCTGCTTGGTTTACTAAAGGAGGTCTGGTTTTCCCTCTTCTGGTAGCTCATTCTGGTTCCAGGCCACCTTTAATCCCAGGGATGAGGTTATTTCTTATTTATTAGGAATGACCTGACTCTTTAGAAACACATGGTGTGTATTTCTGAGCTTCCCAAGGAACTGAGGCTTCTTGTTCAGAAAATCCTGCTCCTCTGCACGCCAAGGACAAACGGGCAGGGTAAGACAACACTTGTTTTGCAGGGGAGATTTTTCTTGAGATGCAATTGAGCTGCTCCGTGCAGGTAGAGCAGGGCTGGGGTTATGGGGCCAAAGGGGTGGGAATGTTGTTAGAGTTTGCTTCAAGCCAACAAGGATTAAAATCTGCCACCGTTTCCCTGTTAGCTGCTTGTTCCTGTCATTCCTGACTCCTGGTTACAAAAGGACTGTGTTTATGTAGGTCGCTGTAGCATTTGCACTGTAACTAACTCTTATCTTTCCTGGGGGGGAGGGCTGGGGGGCTTTGGGAACGTATCAGCTTGTGAATTTTGAGCTGTGTGGCATTCAGCCAGCAGCACTCCTCTCTGCTGCTCCATGTGCCATCTCTGCTGGGCCACGGCCCCAGACATGTCACTGCACACACACAGGCTGTGAAAGAACGTGGTGGCACCTGGGGGGGCTTCACACCCCCTGGGTAGTTTAGCACCCGTGGTGCAAGCTCTCCTTGTCACTCAGAAGGGATTTAGGGACCAATCTTAGGTCACCCCTGTGTTTCAGGAGGAGGCTGTGGCTGAGGGCTGGGTTTAGGTGTTGGTGGCCAGAGCAGATGGATGTGACAGGACTCCTGGACTGCAGGTTGCAGTGCAGGACACTGGCTTTCAACCTGCCTGCCTTGGTCCCTTGCTGCAGAAAATCCCTGTTTTACAGCAGCCTGCCACGTGTGCCCTGTGCCCCAGGACAGCAGGGAGGTTCCAGCTGATGGGATCTGGGGGCAGCAGCTCTGCTAGGCTCAACTTCTGCTGCCGTGGGGCCAGGGCAGGTTCTCCCATCAGCCAGAATCTGTTGATTCTCTCTGGAACAGCAAAGGAGCAGAGATGTAGCTGTAGGTTTAGCTTGAGGTCAGGTGAGATGGAGAGTTCATCTTACCAGTGATATTGACGTATAAAAGAGAGAAAACCCAGCTCAACCCTAAGCCCAGTTGGCATTTCCAAGGCAGTAAGAAACAAAACTTCTGCTTGTAACATGAGCCTGTTTGATCTCGAAAGATCAGTTGACATTGAGCTGTGGGCAAAACCATGTTTTGCACCAGCAAACCTGCTGTGCTTGTGGTGCTAAGGCAGGACAGAAACCCTCCCAGGCTGCGTGCCAGGTTGTGTGAGCACACACACTGCACTGCTGTACAATCCTGAAGGGATAAACGTCCTCCCATAACCTTCTTTTATTGGCACAACAATAAAAACACACTTCTTGCAGATGCCCACGTGTGCAGGGAAGGAACGTGACTGTCACTTACATTATCAAATATTGGGACATTTATCTGTCTACAGAGAATGTGTTTGTGGAGGACAAATAGGTAGAGTATCACCAAAGCCAACACAAGGCATGGCAGTAGAGCCATAATCTGCCCATCCTCTGCCAAACAAGATCATACACTGACTTCCTTTAAAATAAATTAAAAACCCCACTGAGCATTGCAAAAACATTCAGTGCTTTCCTACTGGACAGAGCTGTTTGAATTAATTAATGCCATAGATAGTTAGGTACTTATTTAAACCTAACTCCTCTTGATTATTTAATACTTGAGTGATTCTTTTATTTGCTCTAGAGACATTTTTGAGTTACAGGAGCGTAGAGAAAAAGAAAAATCCAAGGCAAGCAAACTAGTCACCTGGCAATTGTCACTAAAAGAGAATGGCTACTGGGTTTTGAAAGTTTATTTCAGCTAAGGCTCTAATGTCAAACCTGAGCCCAGAACAACTTTTTTTAACGTATTTTTTTACAAAAATGGAGGTATGAGCTGGTCAGGAGAGGACAAAGGCAGCAGTGGAAGTGTTAACAGTCTGAACTCTAGTACTGCAGATGACCTGACTCTGATAGTTGATCTGCATCTGGGATCTGGGGTAAATATTTCTGCCTCTGAGTGGTAGAATATACTTATTGGTTGTTTTTAATGGAATGAAAGTTTCTCTGTTAAACTTATCAGCACATATGGAGTTTCAAAGAATACACCTAGAAGCAAACAGCTGTATTTACTGTTATCCTGTAAGTATGGTTGTTTTCAGACACCATTGTCATAGCAAAATATAAAATGCTGTAGGATTTGTCTTTGAAAATGTGGGGCTTTGCTCTCTCACTGGCTTCTCTTACCAGCCTCTTTTCTTGCTCATGTTGGCCACCACTGCTTCTGTAGGAAAAGTTCAATTCACCTGTATGTTACTAAGGGTAATGACAGGTTATTTAATTGCCATTAAAATCTGCTGGAATTAGGGAAAACTCATCTTCCATGCCCGTGGTGATGGCAGCTTGAATAACAGCACTGCCCTTGCCCGTCCCTTGGGCTGCTTTGGTTTTTCAAGGCATTGCCAGCACTTGTGCAGACTGCTTCTGTAGGAAAAGTTCAATTCACCTGTATGTTACTAAGGGTAATGACAGGTTATTTAATTGCCATTAAAATCTGCTGGAATTAGGGAAAACTCATCTTCCATGCCCGTGGTGATGGCAGCTTGAATAACAGCACTGCCCTTGCCCGTCCCTTGGGCTGCTTTGGTTTTTCAAGGCATTGCCAGCACTTGTGCAGCAGTGGGTTTTCCTCCTGGTCTTTCAGGTCCTTGGGTTAAGGGTTGGTAGACTTAGGTTATGGTTGGACTTGATCTTCAAGGTCTTTTCCAACCAGAATGATTCTGTGAGTCTGTGATCCTTCCTCCACGAGGCTGCTCCTCTGTCTCCCCCCATCACCCACCCCCAGGCTGTGTTGGGGTGTTTACACAGGGAGCTGGACCCACTTTGTGTCTTGCAGCAGAGCTGGCTGAACACAGCACGTGCACCTGAGCTCCAGAGCTGTTGCAGAGCCTCCAGGTATGTTTCTGAGGAGCTCTGCAGTCCCCAAGACACATTCATGCTGTTATTAATCTGCTCTGGGGAACTGTGCACCCCCAGGCATGCATTTAAACCTCAGCCTTGGAGCTGGTGTTGTTCCTGGGAAGTAAAGAGCAATGCAGAAGAGGGACTGCAGCAGAGTTATGGCAGGAGGCAGCTTCCATCTCAAGCCTTGCTTTAACAGTTAATGGTGTGTGTTAAAGCTTTATTATTCCTGTAATTTGTCTGTTTAAAAACTTCACCCACACAATCCAGTATTAAAATACTTTATCAAGGAGTCTCAGGGCAGATTGGAGAAAAAATATTCTCTCTAGGACTGTATCTATATGCTATCAATTTCCCTGTCTGCTGCTTTTTCCCTGGTTGCAAATGTGCCTAGTACAGCCACTTCTTGTTGATATTTTAATCATGAATGTAGGGAAGAGTGATTTTCCTAAGTCTTTTCATGCTTTCTACCACAAAGACAATTGGAAAGGTGCAGTACAAGTAAATGTCATAAAATATTCAACTCCAACACCTCTTGAAGTTAATGCTTTCTCGGCTGTTGAAAGTACAAGAGAGACAATAGGTCTGGGGGTCATATATTGCTAATAATTGATCTTCTGTGGGTCCCCTGCCTTAAGCTGGCACTGCACATCTGTTTGTAAAGGTTGCAGAGTTGAGGTGAAGGTGAAGTTGATTTGACACAGGCTGTTAATTTGCCTATGTAAATGGTTTTTTTTAAATGTTTTTTTTCCCCTTCCAATTAACTTACCAGGATTTTGAATCCATTCCAACAGAGTGGGAACCAACAGGCAACATTCAGCACAGTGAGACACCAACCAAAAGAGGTGGATGGGTTGGGATGAGGCTCTAGGCAGGTGCTGGGGGTGAGGAGGAGGATGCACTTGATGGCCTGAGTGACCAGAGGAAAAGGTTTGGGCTTTGGCTGTGTTAGCTACTTCATCCTGCACAGCCAGCAGGAGATGTGTCCCCTCCCCACCCTTCAGAGGAGGTGGCAGGACTTCTGCCCTTTAGCTGTTGTGTGGTGCCCAGACTGGGCACGGAGCTGCGACCGCTGCTCCCTGCTCTGCACAGCTGGGCTCCCTGCTGGGCAGGGCCTGTACCTGTTAGAGTCATTATGGTTGGGCACAGAAGATCCTGTGGTGTGTCTGTGATAGGATGGAATCTGGGAAATGAGAACTGTTCGCAGAGGAATTCAAGATTAGTCTTACAATTCTCATAGAAAAAAATATGTGATGAAAACCACCAGCAACCCACCACAAAAAAGCATATGGAGAAACTTCAGCCAGTACAGGATTGCCAGGCAGATGTGCCCCAGCCTGGGCATCTGTGTCTCTAGGCAGAAATGCAAAGATCTAGATCATCTAGGTTGGATTTAGAAGATCTTTAAGGCCCCTTCCAAACCAAACCTTTCTATGACTCTCTACAAAGACAGGGGCTGATGGAGCCCCTGCTGCTCCCCTGGCAGCC